CAACTCCTAGGTTTCTACCCAGGAGAAATGGGAACATATATCTACATGAAGACTTGTACATAGAGTGAGTGTTCATGGTAGCATTATTCACAATAGCCAAAAAGTAGAAACAACCCAAAGGTTCATCAACTGGTGAATGGATAAACAAAATGTGGTACGTCTATACATAGAATATTATTTGGCAATTAAAAGGAAAAGAAGTACTGATACATGCTACAGCATGGATGAACTTCAAAACTATTATACTCAGTGAAAGGACAATCACACATTTGACTCTATTTATATTTACAGTCATGCGTTGCTTAACAACAGGGATACGTTCTGAGAAATGCATCATTAGGTGATTTTGTCATTGTGTGAACACTGTAGAGTGTACTTACACAAACCTAGCCTACTACACACCTAGGCTGTATGGTACTAATCTTATGGGACCACTGTTGTATATGTGGTCCATCATTGACTTAAACATTATTATGCAGTACACGACTATATATGAAATGTCCAGAAAAGGCAAATCTATAGAGATAGGATGTAGATTATTGGTTGCCTAGGGGTGGGGTTGGGAATGGAGACTGATTATAAATGAGCATGAGGTTTTTGGATGGACAGAAATGTTCTAAAATTAGATCATGGTGATGTTTGCACAACTCTGTAAATATACTAAAAATCATTGATTCATACACTTAAAATGGGTAAATTTTATGGTGTGTAAATTACACCTCAGTAAAGCTATTGATAATAATTAAAAAGAACCTAGCAAGGCAGAAGATAAATGAGGTTATACATATGATGTTGTTTAGGAGGTTGGCCTACAATTCTCTGTTCCTACAAAGCCTCAGAGTAAGCTGCAGTAGTTTCCATTTCCTTTTACTGAATAAGCTCAAAATTTGATGAGTAAATATAGTATGGCTGAAGCTGAAGGGTTTTTAGAGATGCTTGATGCTGGCTGGCATGGCCAGCAGAGAGAAGGACTAATTACCTCATGAGGATCTTAGTGATTTAAAGTAGAAACAGATGACTGTGAGAGATGGCGCTGGCCATTGTGGACTTCTCAGTGTCTTTGAGGTGTGGTTTAACAATTGGCTGCTTCTTGAATGGGAGCTGAAATTGAGAGATAATAGGAAGCACTGAAACTAAGCCTTAGTTAGTTGGTATCAGAAAGACCTTAAAAGATGGAATGATTCAGAACCACTCTTATATATGAGGTTCCAAAAGAATAAGTTCCTCTACAATCGCTAACTGCCATGGTCTCATACAGACTTGTTTGAGTCAGGTTTTAGGACAAACATCCTAATCCTATTTAATTTCTATATTTGGTATAAAAGGAGGGGTTTTGTCCTCAAATACTTCTTCTAGCAGAGCATGACCCAGATGTGAAGGAAAACATTGCATTGTTGGAGTACCTAGGAGCTTATATTTTAGACTAGAGGCTTAGTTTATGAGCTCCCCCTGGAAGAAGGAGGAAGAAAATTCTGTTCTCTTCCATGAATTAGGGAGGCATCCCAATTATGGCACCAGGGGTGGAGAAGGCATATTTGTCTTTGGGGTTGGCTCTGTCTCCAATCTCGCCATGTTTCTGAATTCAGATAGAGTGAGGAGAGGCTGAGGCAGGAGCCTTAGGTGGGGACCCTGCCTTCAGATGAGTCACTCAGCTATGCCAAGGAGAACTTGGCTTCAGGAGGATCAGCTGAGCTGAGGAACTCTTTCTGTTCTTGTAAGCCCCTCCTCCCTGTATCAGACGTAACTCTTCTCTTCTGTCGCATTCAAAAGGTTTTAGCAACCAAGGAGTACCCACCCTGATCCTTGATGGTAAAAGAGGTCACAAAGAAGCCTGCTTCTGAGGAAGCCATCTGCCAGCAGGAATCCCTCAGGGTGAGGACCGAAGAAGGTACTCAAGAATTAGGTTCTGTGTCTAAGAAAAGCATCTGCAATCAACTTCATTTTTGAGTTTAGTGTCTGTATGACAATACCATGTATTGACAGTCACTGTGAATGTATTTTCCCCAGAAGTTAAGAAATATTACCTTTATGATCCAATAAAAATAATAGCTACCTGAGTGCCCATCTCTCTCTTTTTAAAAAATTTAATTAACTTATTTTTGTTGCAGTAACATTGGATTATAACATTTATATAACTTTCAGGTGTACATCGTAATATATTTCGAATTCTGTGTAGATTACATCTGAGTGCCCATCTCAATTCACTTGGTCTTTCCCTAAATTAAAGTGTCTTCCCTGTGGTCAGCCACCCTTCAAATCAACACCTACATATTCTCCCCAGGTTTTCCAACAGTCTAGAAAATTTAAAAATTCATTTTGAGTATGCTTACCCATGGGCTGACTCTGATCCCGCATGTCACCCTCTGGCTCCTGTTGGTGGGACTCCTCGTCACAGGAAGACGTGGTAGCACCTAGACACAGCAGGACGTCGTTTTGTTGTCCTCAGGCAAACGGGGTGCTAAAAATCATTCCTCTCTTCTAGCTGTCGCCCTAGCTCATACAGATAAAGGGAAATTCTCTTTAGTATTAACTTACATGACCTCAATTTATTAAAAAAAAATGGAAGCAGGGCGGCTTGGGGTCAGGCGGTTGAAGGCCCACGTGCGCGGGCGGAGGGAGCCCGGGCGGCGTCGGGCCCTCCTCCTTGACTCCCGCCTCAGCGGCCGGGGGAGAGTAGGGGGCTCCAGGGCAGGGGGCTCGGGTGGAAACGCAGCGCCTTGATGGGTCTTTAAAAGGACGCGCCCTTTCCCCTCCGGGAATGTTCGGCCCGCCGCGGACCCCTGCTGCCCAGCCGCGCCGGGAGCCGGCGGTGGGCGGAGGCGGCCCGGGAGCCCGCCGGAGTCGGGGGCGTGGCCCTCGCGGCGCGGGGGGTGGCCGAGGCCGGGTGGCCGAGGCCCGGCGCCCGACGGCGGACCCCGCGAGTTACTGACGAGGCCCTCCCGGGAGCGCGGCGGGAGGACCGCACCCCCTTTTAAACTGAGCCCCGGGCGCCGAGGGGTGCTGTTGGTTGGCTGTACTCAGCGACACTCCCCGGGGCGGAGCAGGGGTTCACACCGCTCTCCGAGCCCAACCCGGCCGCTCCACCGCAACGCCCTCCTTGGTGTCCTCAGCTGACCCTCCTCTCGGGGTTGGGTCCCCATGGCCGCCGCGAAAACGGCGCGCTGTGATGCACATTTCAGGCCAGAAAAACTGAAAGAATGGCCGGAGCCTGAGTCAGTTTCTTTAATGGAGGTAAAATAATGTGGCGATTCGGGGCGTTGTTCTGTTGGTGGGACATAAATCTCTTGAGATTAGGAACTGTCTTGACTTAGTCACAGTTGTGTTCCCCAGAACTAGACCAGCGCCTGCCATAGACGAGGCGCTCCCAAGAGTCCGTTGCACGGGAATGGCCGGGGATCAGGTGTGGCCGAGTGTGGTTCGAGTGTCCGAGTGTTGCCTGTGGCCAGCCAGGGGTCCGGGGCGTGAACGCAGCCGTCCCCCGCTCCTGCTGCGGGAGAAGCCGAGGGTGGCCCACCCGTCACTTCTCCGAGCCTGCTACAGCAGTGACCTCCTCGTCGAGGAAGTTTCATTGTTTTATAGGATTCTATCATTCGCCTCACTGTAAAGAAAAGCTCTTGCGTATTTCCTTTATTTTGTCCCTTTTCTCGTGGTGCCAGTGAGAGTAGCGAGACGCTTAATATTTGTGTGTGTGCGTTTGTGTGCACAAAAGCTGTGGATTTCAAAAGTGCTGCTAGAAATCATTAACGTCTTTCTCTGTTTTCTGGCAAAATCACAAAAAAGGAGCCATTGAAGACAAAAATCTGTTTATTTCCTTAAAGAAAAAAAGGTTTGAAAATCTGACACATGACCAATAAGTATATATAACATTTGCTAGTAATGTTAATAGGATGTCTAAAAACAGTGATTTCCGAAGATACTTGTCAAAGTGTATGTTTGTACTTCTCCAAATAAATTGATCGATTCTAAATTTGTATTGTAGTTTCAGGGGAAAACGTTTGTTTTTACATGCCTTTTTATTTGCCGTTTTAAAATAAGTGTAAGAAGGCTTTTAAACAAATTCTGTTTATATTATCAAGAGAGTTTTATTTTGAAGAAGAACCAAGTAGCTGTCTGAATATCATCTTTTATTTCATGGGAAGCTGTTAAGTATATGGGTAAAAATACAACTGTTTTTTTGAGATTTCTCTTATTCACAGATTTGGTATTTGAGTTTGGGGTTTAGTTTGTTTTGATGCACTCACTGTGGCAGAACCCAAAAAAGAGCCAGAGGTTGAATAGCATAATTTTAAGAACCTGTATCCTTTTACACTAGATAATCTTTTTAGGTAAGAGTGTTTCTCTTCCAGATAACTTGGTTTTTATGGCCTTTCCATTTGTTCTTACTTAGTCCTGTAAGAGTAAAAGTTAGAAAATGAGTTCATAGTGATCCAAAAGAAATTTAGTGCATCAGATTTACTCAAACTGCTTATGGAAATAGCAAGTCCCTGGATGCAGGACGATCTTCGTCCTCGGCCACGAGCGGCTGCTGACTGGCTCTGTGACTCTGGCCCAGTTGAACTGCACTGAACTTTGTGTAGTTTTGACTTACAAAGAGACCTGGCAGAAGTTAGGAGGCTTAAAGGGAACCTTTAAAACAAGCGAATGCCTGAAAAGAGGATTCGTTTTATAGAGGATCCCTTTAATTAGGAAGCTTTCTTCGTACTTTAAAAATATGATTTAATGGTATGATGTAAGGGATTTGTTTCAAAATAATTTGGGTGGAGGGTAGTACGTAGGGATTTAGATGAAATAGGATTGACTCTGAGTTGGTAATTGTTGAACCTGGGTGATGGATTCACAGAGAATTGTATTTGAAAATTTCCATAATAAAAAGTTACAAAATATGCTTTGAGGTACAGACATTAGTTTTACACTAAACTATTGGTAAAGAAGGCTGAATTTTGTCATTCTGGTTTGTTTTTTCAGAATTTACCTCCTAATATTCAATTCTGTAATTTTAGGCATTAGCTAGAGAAGACATTGATGAAGCTGTACATGCAATATTATTTAGAGAAAATTATGTTGTGAAGGTAAGAGTTGGCTACAGACTGTGGATTCTAAGTGTGTTCTGGGTGAGCGAGAGTGAGGCAGAGCAACGTGGCCAAGAGGACGTTATCATTGTCACAGAGATTCGTTTTGCTGAGAGAATGAGCGTCCTCTGATTCCCTAGTTGATGCTGCGTAGATCTGAGATTGGGCCACCTCCTTATAGGATCAGGAAGAGGTCAGGATTCCCAGATCTGTCTTTAAGGGATCTGAGAGATTGTTCTAACTGCTCCCCTTCTTTGTCCTGGTACTGAATAGAAATTCTTCCCAACTAAAACTTACTCTTTCTATATGTTCCCACATTGCAGAGGGGATATAGAAACCTACCGGAAATGCATTAGTAATTTAAGGATCATAACCAAGCAGTGCTAATAGTCACTGTGGAATTAATAAACCTAAAGGGGTTTTAATTTCAATGAGAGGGATTGAAATTTGGTGTTGTAATAAGACTTTAACATTTGTATTGTGATTTATAATTTATAAAGGAAGTTTACATAATTCTCATTTGAGTGTCAAAAGAGGTAGATGAGATTTCCCTCCTGGGAATTGATTGATTCAGAGACAGCAGTGCCGAAGCAAGTCTAGTGTGCTTTCTCCTCTACCAGTTTTGTCACAGACTTTACTGAAGGCTAGAGATAGGGGATGGGTGACCAGGAACGCTCAGAAATCCTGAGAATCGGGGGTTTCATCAGTCAGGTGGGGTTCCATTGCGGTTTAATCTGAAGGCACAGTGGAGAACTTTTCTTGGTTCTTCCTGCTCTGTGCTCTCAGGTTCTCTTTCTGAGCTTTGTTCTGTTTTTCAGTTATCATATGCTAGGACTTTGCAACCCCAATGTGTTGAGAGCTTAGGAGTGGGAGCAACTGTTTTTCCCTTGTCTTCAAATGAATGACAATAAGTGGAAAATTAATAATTTGTTTTTCTTGTTTGTATCACTTCATTAGAAATTGGATATGTATTTTCACCATCTGGATATTTTTAAGGAAAGAAGAAAGGAGATGTTACATAAAAAATGGATTCAAAATGTTGCAGAGCCTCTTCAGCAGAGAATTATGGAAAAAGTAATTTCATACAGAGGGTTGGAAAAAACGAAGCAAGAGAATTTTGAATATTTTTTAAAGCACGCAAATAAAACGGTACTAAGAATACTTTTTAAAATAAAGTATAATTTAAAGAGTTGGACCAACATTTTCATTGGTTATGCAGACAGTCCCAAGCTTATTTTTGTATTTAAGATGAATTCCTGGAACTGTAATACAGAACTGTAATTACAGAAGTGTAATAGTGCATTTTTAAACCTGGAGTTTTGAGTGGAGGGAATACAGGTGTTGATTTGGAACTAGATTTATCAGGAATGCTTTTAGGTGAATGTTAAGAGAGTAACAGTGGCTTAAACCATATGGACATTTATTGTTTACTTAATAAGAAATTGAGGGGTAGATGGTCTCACTGGGGGTTCTGGCAGCATAACAAGGTTGTTAATCACCCAGGTCTTTTCCTATTGTTCTATTCTGCTATCCTTAATATTTTCACTTTATCCCCATCACCCTTAGATTTGTAAGCATATTTGGTTGCTTACAGCTTCAGATGTTAGGTTCAAGGCAGGAAGAAGGGTAAAGAATCGTGCCAGGGCATCCTTTTCTTAACACTGGATCCTTTGATCAGGAAGCAAAAAGTTCCCCAGAAGCTCCTAGCAGTTTTCCCCTTAGGTCTCATCGGCCATAGTGGGTCACATCGCAAATCCTAGTAAGAAGCAGGGCCAGGAAAGAGAGTGTGTGGCTTTACGACCTCTGTAGTGGGAAGCAGGCAAGGGAGAAGGGGGTCCCATGGCTGTCGAGTTAGCCAGCCATTAGGTATAGGGACCACGAGTGCCTGCTCTCTGCTCTGCAGTTTGGTGTTACAAAACAACAACAAAATTTTGGCTGCTGCTTTTGAAGGTTTTTCTATTTTAACTTTGAAGTCAGAACCCTCTTTTGAAATTTAGGCCCTTCTAAATTTCCAGGTATTTACTAGAGATCTAGAGGAGTTTGACTGGAATGTTAGAGCATTTAAGTATATTTACTAATTTCTGGATATCTACATTTCTGGATATCAGGTTTCTGAATATATACATTAAATACTTCTTCCTAAATGCCCTAGAGACAGAGCTCAAGGTCAGATCCAGGTCTCTCTGAAACTAAAGTGAAAAGTCTTATAGTTGTGCCCAGAAATGTGATCACACATGTATTGGATGGGGAAACCATGCCTTAGAAAAGCCATGTGTTGAAGTCCAAGTGATTTTAAATGACAGTAAATTCACTGTGATCAACCACGCGAGCTGGCTTCCAAGGAAACATTGGAGCTCTTAGGCTGTGTTGAGAGTGGAAAGCATCAAAGTCCCCCTGTCCGTCCTGTCACCGTCTCGTCACTCCTGTCCACGCTGTAAGGGGACGGTCAGCAGCTGTAGAACCTTTAGAACAGGATGGAGACTTGCCAACACTTCACAGGAGGAAGAGTGGAAAGAAATATGGGGCATTTAGTCTGAGGAAGAGATGACATGAGACGGAATGAAACCTTTAAACATTTAGAAGGCCGACGTGGGTGATGGGAAGATGTATTTTGTGTTGCTTCAGGGGAGAGAACTAGTATCTGCATGTGGCAGATTTCAACTCAGTCTAAGGACAACTTCCTAGTTGTTAGAATGCCCAAGAGAGAACCTGCCTGGTGGAGCAGAAGGTTCTCAAACTGAGGCTGGTTGATGACTTCAGACTACAGCTGATGATTTCTTCTCCCAGAAGGTGGTGAACTCTCACCGCAGTCTAAATTACTTCTGAGGTTTTTTCTAACCCTTTGAATCTATGATTTTATATAAAAATGGAATAAAATATTTGGCTTTTTTGAATCTTGCAAAACACATTTGTATGTAGTAATTTGCTTTTAGGTGTACTTTTTTTTTTACCCCAAAGGAAATGATTGGAGACCTGTGTGATCCTGAGGTATACAATCCTTTTTATATGATGAAAAAGGACCCAAATTATGGAAAGGTAAGTAAGTTTCTTACTTTTATTTATTTATTCTTAGAAACTTTGGGGATGGGGAGAACCTAGTAATTTTAGAAGTCTCGTAGTTACTTTATATTCATAAAAATAAATCTGCCAAAGCCTTTCTCTTGAGTTTTAGAATAGGAACCCAAAGTAATTTTGACTGCTAGGGAATTTACATTGTGAACAAGGGGTGTGTGTGATAATTCGTTCGTTTGTTCATTCATTCATCCACTCACATTCAGCAAACTGGAAGCCCAGAAAGGAGAGGAAGATATGTGGACAGCGAGTGAAGGGGCCTGTGACAAGTGTGTCACAGAATCAGTGCAGGGAGCGGTGGGTCCAGAGGCAGAGCTCCTCTGCGGGAGGTGAAAGGAGGGATGGCGGGAAAGCTGCCCAGAGAGCTGAGTTTATAATGAGTCTTAACATTTTAAACCTGGCAATATGTGAGTTAAAATTTTGAGAAGGGGGTTTCAGTTTTTTATTCCTATGTAGAAGTAGCCATCTGATATTGCTATTCACTTAAAAAAAATGTGTGTGGCTCTGAAGAGACAAGTGGTTTATGTTGCTTCTCCCAGAAAACCAAGGCAGATCATTGTTATGAAGACAAGAAGGTTCTTTGGCTCTGGGAGACTCACCGAGCAGGGTGTTGGGCACTCACGGTGCTGCCTCGCTTTTTCAGTAACTGTTTACCTCGTGTGTACTTCCGGGCCCAGCATTGGGTCAAGTGTGTGGGAGAAGTAAAGAAGGGCAAAACATCTCTGTCTAAAGCCTGTAATGAGAAGCGGGGAGGGGAAAACCGCCTTTATCCACAAGCTGTGCACCCCGGCCCCTTGACGCTCCCCCATACTGAGGTTCACCTGCTCTCCTGTTCTCACAGGCCCTTAAAGACTGGCTGTCAGCTCCCCCAGGAGACGCTCTTCCTCCCAGGCTTCTTGGGAGTGCTGCCTCGTGCTCCTAAAGCCTCCTGAGCTGATGCCTCTCAGCATCAATGACTAGATTGTCATTGTGTGTGACTTGTCTGTTCTAGACTGAGAGATCCCTGAGGACAGGACCTCGCCATGATGCAGCATGCAGTAGCATCAGCAAATATTTATTGACTGATGCAGTGATGCAGTGGAACTCTGAATAGAAGTATGTCTCTTCTATTTGGGCAGCCCTCCCTCCCTTCAGCCACTTAAGGCTCAGTGAACTGTCCTAATGTGGGGCAGGAGACGTTTACCCTTCCCCTGCGCTATGGGTTGATGTTACTCACGGATCTTTATTCTCAGCTGCTTTGGTGTACAGCAAAGGCAGACCTGAATGCTTCGGACAGATTTGAAAGCCTAATACAAACTGCGCTTGGACCCTCAAAGAGTCAACTTTCTTGTAGGTTACAGTCCCACCGTTTTATGATCCTCTGTTTAGAAGACAGCAAGAGATGGATGAAGAGAAGAGAGCTATTTTTCAATACAAGACAGGTAGGTACCTTGTGATCGCTGGGCTTTATGTTTAGAGACTTCTAATTGTAAAATGATTTCCTACCACAAGAGTGGCTGGGGTTGACTGTAAGAGTGTTGATTCAGATTTTTTATCTTCCTCTAGGAAAACGATATACCTTAAAAGAATTTAAAGAACTAGAGAAGGCCAGGCTGTATGCCAAATTGCCACAGTTCACTTTCACTCTGCACAGTGTGATTCCAAAAGAACGGCACAAAGCCTCTGCGAGACCTGCGAGAGGGAGGGCCCGTGGGGGATGCAGGTAAAGGTGGATCGACTGACTGAGCGACCTTCTTACTGTCTCCGTAGCTTTGCCTTTTACAGAATGTCATATAGTTGGAATCACACAGTATATTGCCTTTCCCAGATTTTACTTTCATTCTTAAAGGATGTTTTACAGGATTAAGAGTGTTAGGTTGGCAGTTACTTTCTTTCAGTGTATATCTGACTGTCTTTTACTTTTTTAGTTGAGAAGTCAGCTGCCAGTCTTAGTGTTATTCCTTTGAAGATAATTATCTTTTAATCTGGATGCTTTTAAGATTTTCTTATTGTCTTTGATTGTTTGTAGTTTTACATGATGTTTCTAGATGTGGATTTCTTTTTATTTATCCTACTTGGAAGTCATGGGTCTTGTGTCTGTAAAGTGATGTCTTTAATCAGTTCTGGGAAGTTCTCAGTCATTTTCTTTTCTTTTTTTTAAGATTTTATTTTTTTCCTTTTTCTCCCCAAAGCCCCCCAGTACATAGTTGTATATTCTTAGTTGTGGGTCCTTCCACTTGTGGCATGTGGACGCCGCCTCAGTGTGGCGCGATGAGTGGTACCATGTCCGTGCCCAGGATTCGAACCTACGAAACACTGGGCCGCCTGCAGCGGAGCGCATGAACTTAACCACTTGGCCACTGGGCCGGCCCCAGTCATTTTCTTTTTGATTGTTACCTCTGCCATATTCTCTCTCTCCTCTCTTTCTGGTACTCCAGTTAAACATATTTTAGATTTTCTCACTGTATCCTCGCTGTGTCTGACCTTTTCTTGTGTATTTTCCATCCTTTTTGTCTCTCCATATTTTTTTTTCTTTTTTGAGAAAGATTAGCCCTAAGCTAACATCTGCTGCCAATCCTCCTCTTTTTGCTGAGGAAGACTGGCCCTGAGCCAACATCCATGCCTATCTTTCTCCATCTCATATGTGGGACGCCTACCACAGCATGGCTTGCCAAGCGGTGCCACGTCTGCACCTGGGATCCGAACCGGTGAACCCCGGGTGGCATAAGCAGAACGTGTGAACTTAACTGCTGTGCCATCAAGCTAGCCTCCTGTCTCTCCATATTTGATTCTAGATATTTTACTAATAATCTCTTCAGTTGTGTCTAGTAATCTGTTGTTAAGCCCACTCATTGAATTCTTATTTTCAATTTTTTTTTTTTTTGAGGAGGAGGATTAGCCCTGAGCTAACATCTGCTGCCAATCCTCTTTTTGCTGAGGAAGACTGGCCCTGAGCTAACATCCATTTCCATCTTCCTCCACTTTATATGTGGGACGCCTACCACAGCATAGCTTGCCAAGCGTTGCCACATCCGCACCCGGGATCCGAACCAGCAAACCCTGGGCCCCTGAAACAGAATGTGCACGCTTAACCGCTGTGCCACCAGGCCAGCCCATCAATTGTTTTATTTTTATAGTTCTGGCATTTTATTTGCTTCTTTTTCAGATAGGTTTTGGGGAAGGCTGTCTCTACTCAGGGCCTGGAGGGTCTCCACTCCCCACGAAGGAACCTATTCCAATGCACTGCTTGTCTTGCCCACCAAGGGGAGGGAGATGTTGAGAACGAGGTTAACTACCCACCTGCCAGAACAGCAGCCAGGCTCAGGAGGAAAATTCCAGCAAAGCTACGCTGGGAGCATGGAGGAGTCAGTCTCTATCCTGGTTCTTGACGTTGGCAAATGTGCCCAGGGGAGGAGAAAGCTGGAGATTGCCAACTCATTGAGGAAGGGCCGTCTCCTCTCTGGAACTGTTTCTGCAGCTGTCCAATGAGTTTAAAATTATAGTTTTCTTTTTTTGGTAAAGTCTCTGGTGTTTTCTTGTAGCAGGAGTGTTGGCCTGTGCAAACTTTTATATCCTATGCAAAAATAGAAGCATTGTCATGTTCTTCCTTTTTATCCCTCATCCTGAGTTTTGCTGGAAAATACAATGCTACTTTGTTTCTGTTTTCCCTAGTGATTTGGAAGTTTTATGTTCTATTTCTGGTTTTATAGTTTCTTTATCAATTTTAATAAACATTTTAATTTAAATATTAGTAATTGTATAACTCCCTATGCCCCAGCAAGACGAAGGCTTTATTTTGCTTTATTTTTTTATCTCCCCTGTCCAGCTCCTCAGCCTGTGTGGTCACAGCCCCTTAAACAGTATTCTTCCCGTTGGTCTGGTCTCCTGCAGTGGGCTCTCCCCCTGCTGCCCGAGGAGTTTTTTTGAAGTGATCAACCTTCCCCAACTGAAAACGCTTCAGCAGCCTCCCGTAACCTTTCCAGTAAAGTCCAGACTCCTTAACATAGCACATAAGGTCCCCGGGCCCCGCCACCCTTTCTGGCTTCGTCTGAAAAGTCTCCTCCCGCTAAAGGAAAGAAATATAAATAAACCACAAAAATCTCTGGGTTAAGTCAGCACGTTTACAACTCCCTGTCCTGCCAGGCTGTTTCATGCCTTTGCTCCTTCGGTTTATTGCTGGCTGTCCCAATCCAGGCGAGAGAGGGAATTATCCCATGGTGATAACTATACCTCTACACCCCTACCTGCCTGCCATTCCCACCACAGCTAGCCCCTGGAGGGCCAGGACTGCGTCTTATTTCTCTCGGTGTTCCCAGCGCTTAGCTGGAATGTAGAAGATGATGCATATAGATGCTTGTCAAAGGAATGAGTGGATGGAGAAGAAGGCTTATTTCCCTAGATGGGCCTGGGCTTCTGGGGACAGGCCTGGGGGAACCTCTGAGAGGCTTCACATGGCTATTTAATAAGAAAAGGACAAAGCAAGGTGGCTCTGTCAGTCAGAGATAGTTTGATTACAAAAAGTGGAATCCTTCTCAAAAAAAGAAAAGGGAGAGGGGCTTCAGTGTGTTAGAGAGCACCCCTCTGTCATGGAATTCGTGGTCAGTGTCTCAGTCTGTTTGGGCCATTATAACGGAATACCAGGGACTGGGAAGCTTATAAACAACAGAAATTTATTCTCACAGTTCTGGAGGCTGGGAAGTCCATGATCCAGGTGACAGCAGATTCAGTATGTTGTGAGGACCCGCTTCCTGATGCATAGACAGCGCTTCTCACTGTGTCCTTACATGGTGGCAGGGCCGAGGGAGCCCTCTGGAGTCCCTTTTATAAGGGCACTAATCCCACTCATAAGGGCTCTGCCCCTATGACCTAATCACCTTCCAAAGACCCCACCTTCTCATACTGTCACCTTGGGGGTTAGGTTTGAACATGGGAATTTCGGGGGCACACAAACCTTCAGACCACAGCAATCAGGAAGATAGCCAGGCCGCTTGAGGGACGAGGAGGAGCCCAGTCCTTTCCTCTCCGGGCCTGTGCAGCTTTCATCGTAGCTTTTCCTGCTTCCTTCCCCTTTCTCTGCACACCAGCTTTCTCTGCTGCTTATGCGTGTGCTGGAAAGCGGATGCTCTAGTCCTCTCTGACTTGCTGGTTTGAGTACCCCGAGGCTGCCGGGGAGCCCTTCTGTCCCAGTTACAGCTCTAGGGACTGAGACTCTGGACCAGGTGTCTCAGCCACAGCTGGAGAAGGTCACACGACACTGCCTACCTAAGCAGGGGTGTGGGTGGGCAGACATTGTGGGACAGCCACCCAGTGATGTCTGCTCAGTCTTTCCTTTTCATAAAGTGAGTGTTGAGTTTGCTAAATTAATTTTCAGACAATTATTGAATGGTAAAATTCTGTTTGTACTGAGTTGAGATGTTTTTTTTTTTCTATTTTTCTTTGCAGTCCTGAAAAGCTTATCTGTGCAGAAAAGAAATATCTGTCTGATAAAGAGAAAAAGACCACCGACCTAAGTCAGGTTGTTTTTGAAAGGCAGTTTCATTGCTCGAAGCTCAGCCAGGGGAATAACAGGAAGGAAAAGAAGGATCTGGTGAGCAGAGACAGTGGGGGAGCAGGGCTGGGAGGGCACAATGTTTTCCACAGAATCTGAGCCGTTGGCAAACCCCTCCCTCTCAGAGGGGCTCCCAGGGCAGAGGAAGCAGCAGCCGAAGAAGGGACTGAGGAAGCGAGGCGGAAGGAGGGTTTCTTCTATGCAGAAGAAATGGTGGGGTTGCCTCTGGGCCCCGTGCGGCAGCACAGACAGGGCGCCTTCGGCAGGGGAGCCTCGACTGAAGGAACTCAGAAAACGAGCAGATTGTGAGACTCTGGACCCCACTTTCGGGGGACAGACTGTGCTGTTACAGGTTTCCTCTGCTCTTTTCCCTGAGTTTTTGCTCCTCTGCCATTTTCTACCATTTACTACTACTTATTATATCCAAACCAGACCAAAAATTGTGTTCTCCTTAGTTCAGTCACAATAGGTGGGAATCTTTTGAAATAAAATTTATACTAAAAAAATTGGGGCAAAATGATAGTTTAGATATATAAAAGGTATTTTATTTTTTAATTTTTAATTTTCCTCTCTCACCATGTGGAGATTGAATGAACAAACACCCAAAGATTTACCTTGGACTTTTTCTTTTAATTAATTTTTTATTGAGGTAACATTGGTTTATAACATTATGCACATTTCAAGTGTACATCATTATATTTTGATTTCTTTCTTTTTTTTTTTTGAGGAAGATTAGCCCTGAGCTAACATCCGCTGCCAATCCTCCTCTTTTTGCTGAGGAAGACTGGCCCTGAGCTAACATCTGTGCCCATCTTCCTCCACTTTATATGTGGGATGCCTGCCACAGCATGGCATGCCACGTGGTGCCATATCCGCACCTGAGATCCGAACCGCCAAACCCTGGGCCGCTGAAGCGGAATGTGCTCACTTAACTGCTGCGCCACTGGGCTGGCCCAATATATTTCGATTTCTGTGTAGACTGCATCGTGTTCACCACCCAAAGTCTAGTTGCTATTTGTCACCTTGCATGTCCTCCTTTACCTGTTTTGCCTTCCCCCAACCTCCCTTCCACTCTGGTAAAGACCAGTCTGTTCTCTGTGTCTGTATGTTTGTTTGTTGTTGTTTTATCTTCCACATATGAGTGAAATCGTGCTGTATTTGGCTTTCTCCATCTGACTTATTTCACTTAGCATAATGCCCTCAAGATCCATTCATGTTGTCGCAAATGGCAAGATTTCATCTTTTTTTATGGCCAAGTACTATTCCACTGTGTATGTATACTGCATCTTCTTTATCCATTTATCCACTGATGGACACTTGGGTTGTTTCTAAGTCTTGGCTATTGCGAATAATGCTGCAGTGAACATAGAGGGTGCATATATCTTTTCGAGATAATGTTTTCATGTTCTTTGGATAAATACCCAGAAGTGGAATAGCTGGATTATGTGGAAGTTCTATTGTTAATTTTTTGAGGAATCTCCATACTGTTTTTCATCATGGCTGCACCAGTTTACATTCCTACCAGCAGTGTATGAGGGTTCCCTTTCCTCCACATCCTCTCCAACACTTATTATTACTTGTCTTTTTAGTAATAGCCATTCTGATGGGTGTGAGGTGATAGCTCATTATGGTTTTGAATTGCATTTCTCTAATGGTTAGTGATGTTGAGTATCTTTTCATGTGCCTGTTGGCCATCTGTATATCTTTGGAGAAATGTCTGTTCAGATCCTCTGCCTGTTTTTTTTTTTTTTTTTTGAGGAAGATTAGCCCTGGCCTAACCACTGCCAGTCTTCCTCTTTTTGCTGAGGAAGCCTGGCCCTGAGCTAACATCTGTGCCCATCTTCCTCTACTTTATACGTGGGATGCCTATCATAGCATGGCTTTTGCCAAGCGGTGCCATGTCCGCACCCGGCAAACCCCAGGCTGCCGAGAAGCAGAACGTGTGCTCTTAAGCGCTGCGCCACTGGGCCGGCCCCTCTCCTGTTTTTTAATTGGGTTGTTTGGTTTTTCTGTTGTTGAGTTTATGAATTTTTTATATATTTTGGATATTAGCCCTTTATCAGATACATGATTTGCGAATATTTTCTCCCAGTTGTTAGGTTGTTTTTTCATTTTGTTGATGGTTTCCTTTGCTGTGCAGAAGCTTTTTAGTTTAATGTAGTGCCAGTTGTTTATTTTTTTAATTTTCGTTGACTGAGGAAACATGATATTCAAAAAGATACTGCTAAGACGTATTGAAGAGTGTACTGCCTGTTTTCTTCTAGTGGTTTTGTGGTTTCAGGCCTGACCTTCAAGTCTTTAATCCATTTTGAATTAATTTTTGGGTGTGGTGTAAGATAATGGTCTACTTTCATTCTTTGGCACGTGGCTGTCCAGTTTTCCTAGCACCATTTATTGAAGAGACTTCCTTTCTCCGTTGTATGTTTTTGGCTCCTTTGTCAAAGATGAGCTGTCCGTAGAGGTGTGGTTTATTTGTGGGCTCTCCATTCTGTTCCGTTGGTCTGTGTGTCTGTTTTGGGCTGTACCGTGCTGCTTTGACTCCTATGGCTTTGTAGTATATTTCTAAATCAGGCAGTGGGATACCTCTAGCTTTGTTCTTTTCTCTCAGGAGTGCTTTGGCTAAAGGGTATTTTAAATGCAGGAATTTTCTGTTCACAGATTTCTCATCCAGAGCTCACAGTCCAGTTGGCACGGCTTACAGCTCATGGCTTCTTTCCCCTTCCATCGTCTCTCCCACGCCCTGTATGCTAAAGCCTGAGGGTAGGACGCTTCCGGGGAAGGCTTCCGGCACTGGGTATATAACCGGTCTGTGACCTGTCTTGACTGCATCTCTCCCTTCACCAAGCAGCCGGGCCCCTCACCTCCACCCCTCACCTCCACTGCACAAAGGATGAGAGACTGTTTCTTCTCTCTAGCTTGAAAACCTTGTTAGATATTTTGTGACCCAACTTCTACTGAATGCCATTGTTCTCCCCAGAGACACAGATTCTCCTTATGTGGGAAGGTAAGTCTTTCCTCAGCAGTTTCCTCTGAGCGTAATTGTCCTGAGAGCACAGGAGCGGCTCCCTCCGATCTGAATGGGCACTCGTCAGCTCTGCCCTTAGGGGAGGGTGGCCGAACTGCTGTTACCAGGAGATCCAAAAAGTGGAGAGTGGTTTACACACAAGAGAAGTTTATTTTTCGCTCATGTCCCAGAACTGGGTGGGTCAGCAGGTCAGCAGGCTGTCCCTCTTCCATGCGGTCTTTGAGACCCAGGCTGATGGAAGCTTTGTCATGCTCAGCACCTAGCCTGCAAGGTTGTCCTGGGGAACTCATTCCTGTCAGCCTGAAAAGGAAAGAGATCATGGAAGAGTTCTGCCCTGGGAGAGGAGGTGGGCCGGCCTCATACATTCCATCAGTGTGGCCATTCCTGCAGCCGACCCTAACTGCAGGGTGTGGGGTGCTGGGAAAAGTGGTCCCTGCCTGGTCTGAGCACAGTGGCAGGGAGAGCAAGCATTTTGTGGACAGCTCGTCATCTCCGCTGGACAGTGAAAAGGTTGGTACTGTGTGGAGTCCAGAGACACAGGAAGCCTGGTCTGAGTTGCAGAAACCAGGTAGAGTGAGGGAGGTGAGGAGAGGGCCGCTTGAGAAGCCACCTAGAAGGTCTCAGCTCGCACAGGAGGGCTGAGTCTTGCCTGGGATCCACCGGGGCCTTTCTCCCTGTCCCTGGAGGGCCCTCTTCCCCACCCTACACTCAGTTCTTCCCTTCTGTCATAGGTTTTAGGAACCAGAAGGAACAGACCCCAATCCTGGGCAGCTGGAGAAGGCCGGCACAGAAGGGGGCCCCAGCCTATGGAGAGAAGAGTGATGACAGCAGAGGTCCTGGCGCAGCACCTGGCTGCCCTGCAGCTGGGGCTCCAGCGGGACAGCCGGAACTGCATCAGCTGTGAGGAGGCGTCTGTAATAAAGCTTCGCTGAACCTGAGTTTGCAGTGTCTATACAACAGTTAAAATACTCCCAACATGTTTTCTCTCTCCAGAAGTGGAAAGATATTGCAAGAAATATCCAGATAATAATAGTTGCTGTTTATCGAGCACCTGCTGTGAACCAGGAACTGCGTGAGGTATCTTATATTCATTTAAAGGTTTTTCACAGCAAGATAGTATTTCTCTCAAAACATGAAGCTCAGAGAGGTTCAGTGGCTTGCTCAAGGTCAATTGCATGGCTTGAAAGTGCAGTGTTCTGTTCCAAGTCCAGTCCCTCTGGTCCCAAAGCACACGTTCATTCTCTCTGCTCACCTCCACCCAGACTTGGTGATGTCAGTCACGCTGCTCAGAATTTGGGTCCTCTTTCTGAGACCGGACTTAGCCCGCTCACCTGCCTCGGCACCCTCACCCTGACGAGCGCCGAAGGGGCTCGCTGGGCCTTCCTCACGGCTGCTCAGTCCTTCCCTGTGGATGTGTGAGTATTCTCAGGGTGCATCCTCCTCTCCCCTCCCCATGCCCTTCAGAAAATCAGGAGAGAACTTGATTTCTTAAGGGCAGAGCTGCGTTCCTAGGGCAGAGGGGGTGACTGAAGTTGCTGGGGGTGCTGACATTGAGTTTCCTCTATAGTTTTGTAGAAGTCTGACTCACATCCCCCAGGCTCCTCTGTCCTAACTCTGAAAAGAGTCTGATGTATCTAGACGTAGAGAAATGGCACGAGCCACAGTTCATCCCAGCGAGAGGTCAAGTCCCCACTGTCCTGGGGAAAGGGTTATTCTGTAGCTATGGTCACAAATAACCCCAGAGCTGGCTTTAGACCTGCCTGACGCATCAGTAACAGCCTGTTGCTTTGGAAGTCAGCCAGTCAGAGGCAGCGTTGTTGGACATCACCCTACATCTGCCTCCATAACCAACACAAAATTCGTTTCCCAAACCCTACAGAAGATCAGCAGTTTGCTTTACTCAGCAAGGCCGTGCCTGAGCAGCCAAACTTTCCCTTAATTAAGCAACAGAGTCAGTTTTGGTTTCGGATACTGAGTGGTGTCTTCCTTCAACACAGGCATACTTCTCTTATGTGTATGTTGTAACCAATCCAGGCCCAGGATCAACGCCTGAAATGATTAAGTGATGGGTTTTTAAAAATATGAATATTCTGAATTATGTTTCCCGGCTCTTCTTTGTCCAGTGATTAGAGTTCAATGGCAATGGGAGCTGTGGTGGAGGGACATTTGGATCCTTCCTGCTCCTCCAGCTCCTTGAGAGGACCTGCTCCCTGAGAAATCAGGGCTCCCGTGGCCTCAGCAATCCCTTCTAGAAGACAGATCTTTTTCCCAGTTATACTTATTAACCTAGGGTTTAGTGTATAAGACCTTATTTTTAAAACAAATTTCATACTTCAAAATCCAGAAGCCAAACAAGCCGCTCTGACAGGTGTGGCTGTGGCTCTGACAGCACTGGGCGGGGGGAGAGACAGGTGCTTCTGGAGCTGGAGGGGCTGAGGGCCTGCCGATGATGCTTAATACTTGAGCATTTCCTTTACTCCTAAGTTACCCCTGAAGTTTCTACTCAACTAGGCAAGCAGAAGGACTCAAAGGGTCTGGTCTAGCGCCCACAGAGGTCATTTAGTCTAGCCATCAAAGAAACATTAGGTAAATGTAACAGAGTCGCAGAGCAAGTCAATGTTAGAGTCAAGACAAGGCCCTGGGGTCTCCTGGACGCTCCCCATCCCTACCCTGTCCTTGATTTTCCCACTGTCGCAGAAAGGAAACTTGGTTTCATCGTAAGCAACCTCTGAAGTTACCTTTTAGGAACATTTCACATGGAAAGCAAAACAGTCAAGCTTCGAAAGAAGTTACATTCATAAACTTGTATTTTTATTCTTTCTGTACATATTGGCAATGATAAAGCTTAAAGGTGCATGTCCTATGAAATATGCAAAACAAGGAATTTACATAAATAATTTATACTTCAGAAAATTAAAGTTGAAAAATATTTTCCACATCATTAGAGTTCACAGTATTTAAAGTAAATCAAGCTTTCCCCTGTAGATTTCAAACTATATTGTCTCAGCAGAGAATGATAAAATCTAATCAGGAATAAAACGATCAAGTTTCTGTTTTTTATTCAGTGCACGAGTAGACACTATTTCAGTATCAGGCTGTTCACACGCTGAGGCTGCAGCATTTCGTCCCAATCCTTTACCTCCTGAGTGGCTGTGACCCGGCAGAGGTCACGTGGTGTGGAATGGTTACAGCGTCACCAAAACCACCCACAGTGGACACATTCAACCAAGTGGTAACGTCTGGTGGTCCGATGCCTCATTTCCACATAATACTTTTTATAGCCCTGAAAATGGAAACCTTGGCATCTAAACACAGCCGAACATGTTAACACTAGTACAAGGCACTGTGCTATGGGGTTGGGTTTATGTGTAGGAAAGATCATGTTTGCATAGATTGCTAGCGATTTTAGTGTGCAATAACATAGAGGGCCCCGGCGTGCGTGGCCTAGTGATGGATGAAGCCGCGTGACCCTCCTGCAGCCTGGGGGCAGCACCGCAGTCTTCTCCAGCCCAGCCTAGTGGGCAGGTCCCCAAGGCTCCTACAGGAGAGTCTTTTGCTCAAAAAGCTGCAGGTCAAAGCGGACCCAGACCTCCCCGGTGGGAACCTCGTGCAGCAGGAGTCGGCGAGTGGTGGGGCCTTTGCTTTCCTGTTCTGTTCGAATTTTTGCCACTGGAACTTCAGTACGACCCAGGAAATCTGGTGAATAGACAGGTGAGAGTCAAAAGTCTTCTTTATAAAATTGTTAAAAACCACCACATGAGGGGTGTCTGAAACAGGATTCATACAACTTTCAAATCCAAAAAAAGTAACTAACTTCTTTCGGTACTGGCTGTCTGACGCTGTGAATGAATGCATGCAGAATGACAAGGGATGCGTGTGGAGGAAACTGCCTATTTGGAATCCAAGTCTCTGGGCAGGGAGCATCTCCCCCATCCGGCATGTGCCAGGCGCACAGTGTTTCTCTTAGGTATGTAGGGAGTGACTGGGCTCAAAGACTGAAACACACCTGAGCCCCCCCGCGCCAGAAGGCACCCCACCTGCTGCCGGAGTGAGATGCTGGTGACCATGGGCCTGTGCTGTTCCCCTGAGGTGTCATGGGGTAAAAATAAGGTCAAGTACCCTGGATCTAGACTTGAGATTCTAGAGTGCTGGGGATGCTTCAGATCCCCTGGCTGAATTATACTTTACCATCTGGTGAAAACTGGTCTCTGTCAAACATGGTGAGACACAGCACATCCTGGTAAAGGTCCTTAATAAAGAACTGGCAGTTAAAATTCCACTTGGGATTTAGTGTGTCCTGGAGGGTTCTGGTAGTGTAGCTCTGGGAGCCCATGCTGATTTCACAATATGGATTGCTCTTTCCTGAACAAAAACAAACCAAAGACACATGTGGCCTGTAAAGGTAAAATGAGTGACAACAGGACCTTCCTCAAGCAAAAGCAGGATCCAAACAGATGCTTCTCTGTAGACCGCGCAGCAGGGGCCCACGTCTGCCTGTGGTCTCTGTGTTCCCAATGCTGACAGCATCATAAACCTGAGGAGCAACCAGGCAGGCTCGAAAGCTGGGGCTGCTCCCCCTGAGCCTGGGCAAGTGTCAGTGCAACTTGCCTCGTGCTTTCTCCACTCAGAAGCCTGAGGAAGGAGGCTTTGGTACATAATGGGAAAACAGTGATGATAATATTGGTCCAATAACCATTTTACTGGCATTGGAAACACTGACTTTTTAAAAGCATCCTATTATTCAATGTTCAGAAGAGTCATCAGCAAATAGTGGGGCAGTTACTATGTCTGTTTAATGAAAGAAGCATTTACCATTTGGTTTACAGGCTTTTAATTCTGTAGCTTCAATGACATGCACCATCAGTCGCCCAATGCCTGAGGTCTTTTGAGAGCGAGCTACAAAAGAGAAAGAGGAGTCATGTTGAGAATGCTGAGCGTGCAGTGATGACGCTAGGCTGTAGATACTCACAGTCTGTCTTTTTAACCAACCCAACACTGCCCAGCCTCACCTGCCACTGTGCTCAGCCCAGCAGGCTGGCGTCTGGCTGCTCTGTGCCTCTGCCCAGCCTGTGTTGCATGCTGGGAATGCCTTGCCTGCTGTCTCTGCCTGTCAGCATCCTACTCATCCTTCCACACGCAGGCCCAATCTCACACCTCACCTCCCAGACCCCTTCCCTCCTCTGTGCATCCATTATCCTTGGCTTCTGAGCATCCCACAGCCTGCTGGGCCTGAAATTCTATGTCATGTCCGTCTCCCCTGCCGAGAGGAGCCAGTGCAGAGCATGGACTGTTTATTCATCCATGTATTAATCTCTCAATTGCCTAGCAAATAGTAATGTTCATAAAATAAGAATATATTATATTCACTCAGCACTTAAAGCAGCTAACATTTACTGGATACTTACTTTGTGTTAGGCATGTGCTAGACCTTTACATAAGTTATATTACTTAAACTGCACAATTACCCTGTAAGGCAGCTCTTTATAACTGCCATCTCCATATATGAGAAAAGTGAGGCTTAGAAAGGACTATAACATGCTCACGTCACAGAACTTCTACATGGCAGGGTCAAAATTTAAACATCAGATAGCAAAGTCTATTTTCCTAACTACTCACCATAGTTCCAATTATCTGTAAAACACTTCAGCTTACAAAGCAGTTTCACTTAAGACCTTATTCTATTTAAGGGGCTACTCAAAAAGGCTTTTAATATGGAGAGCGATGAGTCCATGAACTCCAGATTATCTTGGTAAATATGAAGTTAGGTAAGCAGGTTTTGCTCAGGGGTTTGAAAACTAACAAAAAGGCTGCTTGGTGAGCTATTGATTTTTCAAAACTCAGGGCAAGTAGAACCTTCTCTGTGAGCAGTGGCCCACTCCCATGGGTGCCAACCCTCCTGCACAGCACTGGCACTCGGTTCCCCGAAGGCAGGGCGGGGCCAGATTCACCTTTGCAGGCCCGGTTAAGAGGAGCACGGCCCTCGCACAGAGTAAGTAATCAATAAATGTCTACAGAGGTGAACACAAGGAAATGCATAACAATATGTACAGATACTGATGTTAAGCAAAACTAACACAGAAAAACTTTGATTCACATCTTTGACCAATTAAGAGATCATTATGTGCTTTACAAGTGATTCAGTCATTGATTTTTCAGCAGCAAGCCTTTAAAGTACCATTGAAACAAGAGTCAATTAGCAAGAGCCAATTTACACATACCTTTCAGGAGTAAATAACAAAATAAGGGACACCTGAATAAAAAAACACACAGAGCTGCAATTGGAGCAGCCAGGAACACGGGACTGGAAGGGGAGGAGTGCCCGGGGGTGGGCGGCAGGGTTTCACGGGTGAGCTGCTCAGTTAGGCAGTGATGTGGGCAGAGGGAAACAGCGGGAAATGGGGCAGCTACCAGGTAATATTGGGGATGGGCCCCGAGTGCAGGCTAAGAACTTTGTCCTTAATTTGGGAGGCAAAAGGGGAGATGCTTAAGCAGGGAGAGAGAGATTGAGGGCAGCCCTGTAGAAAGAATATTCCAGAAATGAAGGGAATGGGTGATGGTGGGGGTACCTCGTGCTATAGCCAGGGTGGGAGATTGGAGGGTCCGGAAGGGGCTGTGCTGCCAGGAAAGGAAAGGACCAGCAAATGAGAAAAGGAATGATGGAGAGAACAAATGGGCTCGGCAGCTGACTAGGGGAGAAGCGTCGGGGGTCAGAGAGCATGTTCCAGTCTGGGTGGCCGAGGACAATACTGCTATCCACAGAGATTCTCAGGAGGCGCTACTTCTGGAAGGAGGCTAATTAACCCCACTGGAGATGCCAATCTGTGATGTCCAGCAGGCACCCGGGAGCAGTCGAGCAGGTGCATCTGGAGAGCGTGGGCGCGGGAGAGAGCAGCCCAGCTGTGACCACTGAAACTGGGATGAGATGAGGGGGAGAGAAGCTCAGGTGAGGGCAGAACTCCGCGGGTACAGCGGGAGGAAGAAGAGCTAGGAAGGAGATGAAAGAAGATTAGATGGTAGGAGGACCCTCAGGGGTATCATGGGGTTCAGGGGCAGGGAGGAGCCTCAATTTCCTGCTACTGGGTGCAGGGAGCATGAGGAGGGAAAGTGAGCCAAGCCATTATTTAGGTCACTGGTGTCGTGTGAGCGAGTCATTTGCGCAGAATGATGGGGACAGCAAGTGGAGTGAAAGGCTGGTGAGCAAGGGGGAGCCGGGGGCGTGGGGGGGTAACTTAAAGTCCAGGACCTGGTTGTCAAGACAGGGGGAGGATGGGTGGATCTGGAGGAGGGATGGGGCAGAGGCTGAGGTGGGAGAGGAGCAGAGTGTTTATAAGCTGAAGGGAAACAGGCCAGAGAAGTGAAGTTTGGTGGAGCAAAGTGGACCAAGCAGAGGCGGGGTCAGCCGTGCATTGAAAGCCCCTCCCTCCTGGAAACAGGAGTGAAGAATGAGTGTTCGCGGCGGAGGGACACAGCCTTTGCCACAGAGAGAAGGGAGGTCCTGGAGCTCGCACTAGATGACCCCCGTCTGTGTAATGGCGGGGGGCTCGGAGAGGCCCCTAAGAGGTTTGAACAGCTGCGACGGGAGGAGAGGCCACAGCAGCTGAGGTGGGCTCTGCTGTCTCATCTTGCAGCAAGCCTGGTCTCTGCCGTCCCCATTCACCCTCTCACTGCAGGAGCAGCAGCAGCCGCAGCTTGTGTCCTGAGGGTGAGACCCATCCCCTCCCCAGGACCCCTGGCGGCGGGTTCCAACCCTCCGGGGCACCACCGACTACCTTGATAAGCCTTCTCCCGTTTCCTCTTCTCGGTGTCGATGTACTGCTCAGAAGCCGCCTTGATCTTCTGGACCCAGGCAGTCCTGCAGAGAAGCAGAGCACACCATGGGGCAGCTTTCCTGCGCACCCCACAGGTTCAGCCAGGAACCCCCAAGCTCTGCACTGGTTCTTCTCTCCTTTGCTATCCTCAGCTTTGACAAGTTTCCAATCATAGACCTGCGATTAGTGCAACTGAAAGACTCGCTTGCTAATTGAGGATCAAACTGAGAATTTCTAGACAGTTCCTGACCACTTACAAATCACCAGGCACTTGCAAGGTGCTGGGTACACGGAGAAAGAAGATGCAATTCAGCACGAGAGAACACAGGTTCTACTACACAGAGAACCGTGGCACAGGAGGAGGTCTGCTGTCACAGAGGTGCCGGGCTACACCCTAGAGGACACACGGCGGGCCAGGCAGAGAGGGAGAAGGGCATTCCACACAGGGGGAAGGGGGCGCACAGGTCCTGTGGGGTGGAGGGGTGGGACTGAGCCTCTGAGAGGCACAGAGAGGGCCTCAGAGACCAGGCGATGGAGCAGGGACTGTTGCTGGAGGGGTTTTAGCAGGAAGTGAGGTGTTGGGTCTCCTGTCAGAGAAGATCCCGAGAAGAGACTGGAAGCAGGGAAAGTGTTAGAGGCAGCGGAGGTAACCGAGCACATCCACGGCAAGGCCTCCCAGTGGGACTGGGCGGAGGGGCTGGTTGAGAGAGGACACAGAACCAGCAGGACTTGAGCATGGACTGGAGATGTATGGCCGAGGGAGATGTCCAAGCTTTCTCCTAGACTTCGAAGCAGGTCACATGTGGTCAGGACTGACCTCTCGTTAATGTTGTCTGTGCGGAGGGTGTAGACCCGGTCAATGTGGGAAATGTGGAAAACAGGCTCATCGCTGGAAGGGTCTGTGGGCAGTTTCACCAAGACTTCATTCAGGAAAATGGGCTGAAATTAGGGCCAAAACACAGGCTGTGAGATGGGCCAGTGCACCACCCCCCACCCTGCCTATGTCCCGAGAGTTCTGTCTGTTCTGAAGAGCCTTGGGAGAGGTGGAGAGGGGTCTTGGTTCTAGGATCTTTTATTTAGGAAAAAAGAAACTGTCTCCATTTTGTGAAAGTAAACATCTGGGGTAGATGAGATGTCACAGAACTGGGGACAGGAGCTCTGAGTGTCCACAACTGCTCCATGCACGGACACTTGGCATTTTGCTTCAGCCTCGGTTTTACAGAGAGACCCAAGGCTGAATGTGGACAGAGGTGGGATCACATGATGGCATGTACGCCAGGGAGGGGGCTGGAATCCAAAGCTGGAACCCAGCTGGCGGCTGGCGGAGGGCACTGAAGACCCAGCCACTCGAGGAGCTTCTTCTCTGGCAAGGGACAAAGGAGGCGTGAGACATCTGGAACAGGTGAAGAGCATGCCAGGAGGAGAGGAAAGGCTCAGGACGGGAAGGAGGTCCTTAAGGTAAAGGAAACACCTCGTGATGCTCCTGATGCGACCGCCAGTAGCACACCACTTACCGTCTTGTACATTTTGAACTGAGCGTTGGACTTGGAGCTGAAAAGCTTCTCAGAGCCCGAGGAGACCGCAAACTGCCTGACCATGTGGGTGAGCAGCAGGAAGTCATTGAAGAGGAACCCGCACAGCTCCTTGTTGCTCTTGGTCTTGTAGAGTTTCCCACTGTGCAGAAGCTTCCGAGGCCCCAGGCAGTTGGTGAGGGAGTTGAAAATAAGTTGCTTGAAGAGAAAGAAACTGTCACTTTGTAAGTCCCAGCACAAACCATCCCAGTGTCCCCCAGACCTGTGCCCTGGACCTGAGGGTACTGTGATAGGATTTTCTAGTTGGCAATGTGACCGTGATCATCCCCCCTTTTCACAAAAGATCCTTACATTTATTTTTCTTGAGAGTTCGAACCGGCCCGGTGAAAATGATTACTTATACCCAGAGAATACTGATTCTACCATCTGAATTCAAAGAACTCAAAACCTACATATCAAATCTCTCTTTACAAGAAAGGAAGATGGCAACCAAGGGGCAGGATGGTGAGTGCACACGGGCTGAGCTGAGGCACAGACGGTCCACACCAGGGGAAGGCCGGCACCTGGTTCCCCACCCCAGCCTGCCTGGTGGCGTCCAGCTGCACACCACGGCCTCACCTCTGCGAGGCCTTCGCACTGAACGTGTGCCTGGATCCACTCCAGTCGGTCTGAATTTTCCTTCTCCCGAACGCCTTCATTAACTTGAGAGCACAGCTCCTCTGCCCGCTCGAGGGCCAGCTTTAGGGAGGAATGGTCTACGTGGTGCTCAGGGGTGTTCTCCAGAATCTGGAAAAGACCGGCTTCATCACAATACGTCATGGATGTGTTGTGTCCTCAACCCACCCCTCCAGCTCTCCTATTGGCTGCCTATATGTGCCCGGTGCTGAGCACTGGAAATAAAATGGTGCGCAAGACAATCATTTGCCCTTCAGAAGGTCATAGTCCCATGAGTTCTTGGGGAGACAGGTGACTCAGTTACAAGAGAGTGTGCCAAGTGCCACATGGACCAAGTGCCCTGAAATCTGTGGGTCTCTGGTGGCTCTCTGGCTCATTTTAGTAACAGGCCACATGTTAAAGGGTGCCTCCCTACTTCCCCCCCAATAATTTAAGCCATGTGCCTTTAGGGTGAACTCTTCAGTATAAACTGGCTGCAACTTTGATAAGTGTGTTAACTTGCAGAATAGCAACAGTTCACAATGTTTTGAGGGTCATTGATCCTTTTGAAAAATTGGATGAAAGCAATGAATCTCCTGCTACAGGAAAAATGTAATAAAATCCTGTTTGTCAGCATGTAGAAAAATGCATTCAGTTCATTTGGAGATGACTTCAAACTACTGTTACAAACGTAAAAGAATAGAGGCCAGAATACAAGTGTGCGTGGTCCCTCCGGAAATTAGCAGGCCCATCAGCAGACAGCTCCGGTCTGGACTCCTCCTGTAGTCGTGGGGCCCACAGGCCTTTGTTTACAATTCCAAACCGGGGAAAAGCCCTGAAAGCCTGAAGGTTTTTCAAAAGTCATTTGGTGGCAAAAGCTGACCTAAACTGAAGAGATGCATTTATTCACTCTACTTGCAGTGATTATCCATGTATTTCACTGTGGGAATATTAATGTGCTTGGTCACAGGTGCTGCCCAGGCTTTGTTGGCGTGCCGTACAATATACAGTATCTGAGTTACATTCTGAATTCTGAAACACGGCTGGCCCCAAATAGTTCAGGTAAGGGACTGTGGAATAATGTGCATAATGGGTCAGTTTGGTATCATAACTGTAACATAAGGTCTATACTGAGTTAACATGGCTCACAGACCAATGGTCAAAGCATAACTGAAAAAAGCAACAATCTTATATTATTTCTACTGTTTTTCTTTGTAAGCTGTTAAAATTCTATCAATGATTATTTGTGGAATAACCCTTTGTAAAGTCTGCCATCTCCTCAGAAGGCATATTGGCTCAAGAGGCCCATGCTGCTTATGTCAAGAAGATGGATGGAATCCTAGGACTGCGCAGTCGGCAAGCTGAGGTGGGCTACAGCGCGGGGACGAAGGTGAGCTCTGTTAGGACATGCTGAGCTGGGGACTCCTGGGGCATCTGGCTGGGGCTGTTCAGCTGGTAGATGAGTTCAGATCTCAGCAGAAAGACTGGAGTCCACGGTTGTAGCAATGGTGGGCTCTGTGTGAGCTCAAGACGGGCTCCACAACTGGAGACCTAGCGGGCCTTTCCTCTGCCTAGACAGACACACTCTTGACTCTGAGAGGCCGGGCAAGCTTTCTGGGAAGGGGAGGACAGGTTACCCAAGTGACAGTGGATGCCTCTTACTCGCCCACCTCAGGGATTCGGCCCTTCAGATTGTAATGTGCGTGTTCACATGCATACACACACACACACACACGCTCAGTGCCGGGTCCATCAGATGGTGGTCAGCCCATGTGGCAGAGGTGGCTGGCATACTCGGAGGCTGCCTGACTGCCAGCCTCTGTGAGCCTCAAAGGGACACGCATCTCCGTCCCAGCAGGGGCACTCACGCTTCTGATGAGGAGGGGGTAGCGGGTGATCCTCTGCATGGGCTTCAGCAGGAAGCTGGAAAGGGGCATTCCTTTACATCGGGGGTCGGACGCCAGCTTCTGCAAAACAAGTGAGAGGCTTGAGGAAATCATAGCCTCAAGGAAAACAAGGAAACACTGGCTATACTCCTGGCTTTAACCACCTTTCAGATTTCTAATTTCTTCTAAAAGCTCAGGATCCAAAATGATGTGTATCAGATTAACAGCAGGAATATCTCACCTCGTGTGCCAAAAACAGAGGATTCTTTTCAGTTCTTTCTTACACCCATATGACAGCCTATGTGATCATTCCTTCCTCTGCTTCCAGAACCACTCTCTTCCCAGTCTGCTGACCTGAGTCTTCTTCCCTTCTTTCTTCTCTACTCACTCTTTTTTTTTTTTTTTAAGATTTTATTTTTTTCCTTTTTCTCCCCAAAGTCCCCTGGTAGACAGTTGTATATTCTTCGTTGTGGGTCCTTCTAGCTGTGGCATGTGGGACACTGCCTCAGCGTGGTTTGATGAGCAGTGCCATGTCCACGCCCAGGATTCGAACCAACGAAACACTGGGCTGCCTGCAGCGGAGCGCGCGAACTTAACCACTCGGCCACGGGGCCAGCCCCCTTCTCTACTCACTCTTAACTGTAGCTGCTGCCCAAGATCCCCCGCAGTGCAGTCCCAGAGGGTAACCCAGACCCTCTCTGGAGCTCCACACTTGCCCATTACTGTCTTTCTTCCCTGGATGTCCAAAAGGCACCTCAACACCTCAACAAACCCAGAAATGAAGTCCTCATCTTCCGTCATAAGAGCCTTCTCTTCTACCTCTATCCCTACCTGAGCTGGTAGCGCCATTCTGCACCCACCCACCTTCCCACACACACCCCTAGGAGTCACCATTGATGCCAATCCCTCTGTCTTCTAATAGCTCTAGATTTCCCCTGCCTCTGCCTGCCCATTGTCCCCTCCTTATTAGTAACAATTGCTACCATTTATTGAGCACCTACTGTGTGCCACGTAATGGATGTGTTAGCCTTTATTGGTACTGTCCCTTCTGCTCTTTCTTCACTTGGCTAATTTGTGCTCACCTCTGAAGACTCAGATTATGCCTCCTCTTGTCCAGGCTCTCCTCACCCTTCCCTGACACCTTCCCTCCCTCTCAGTGATCCTTCTTGAGCCCCCTAATAACCCATGGTGCCTTTATCATAATGCCGCATCCGGACTGGGTAATACAGGTGTCTCTATGCCGCGGCAGACTGTTAACTCCAGGAGGCCGGGACCACGTCTCAGTTGCCTCTGCTCCTAGTCCTAGTCCCGTACCTGAATAGAGTAGCTGGTACTCTAGGACGATCATTTTTAATGATTGAAAAATACATTTACCAAAATTTACCTAGTCACGTCCCACTATGGGATATTAAAATTGCTGCCCCTTTTTGTTTTTGGATATATCTATATATGCTGCTATAACAAGCATCTTCCTGCTTTTTATTTATGTATTTTGAGTCTTTTAAAAAAGCAACATTTTAGAACACAGCTTATTATTAGATTTTGCTTTTTAATATAATCAACACTATGCCTTTCATTATGAGACTGTAAACTTTTTATTTTTACTATTATTACAATTGTGATGACACTGACATCCTATTTACATTGTTATTGTTATTACTATTTGGAAAAAAGTTTTCAAAAATCTTTTACTATGCTTTAGAAGGTAAATGTCCTATTTTTAATTCTGCCATTGATTATTTTAAAACATTCACATGCACTCACAAATCTACATTTATCTATTTATTCTGACCAGTATTTCTATGATCTTGGTTTCTTTCTACGTCTCTTCTAGTTTATTTCTAGGCAACCCCTTGCCTCCCACCCTTATAACTAACTGAAGGGTTCTGTCCTCAGTGCCTTCTTATATTGAACCATTTTTACATCCCTGAGATCATTAGAAGGAAGATAAATATAAATAGCATTTACTGAATGTTTACTATGTGCCAATCTCTGTGCTAAAGTACTTTTAAAAGTATTACCTGATTATCTCCGGGTTACAGGTGAGAGGAACAAAGGCACCAAATGTTACGTAGCTTGTCCTGGTCACAACTGGACGGTGATGGGCTGGGATTCCAACCTGAGCAGTCCGATTCTGAAGCCTGTCTCGTCTGAAGCATGATATTATGCTGCCTCCTGGGGTAATCCTATTTGGTTATGACAGACTCTCCTTTTCATGTAATGCTTGATTTTACTCAGGCTGTACCCCCCTAGGTTTGTGTAAGTAACTCTGTGATGTTCGACAATGCATTTCTCACAACGCACCCCCGTTGTGAGGTGGCGTGTGGCCGCATTAGTAAGTGTTGTCCTTCTGAGTAAGGTCTAGCTTTACTTTTCCTCACCAACTGCTTGGTTTGTTTTGAGGAAGATTAGCCCTGAGCTAACATCTGCCATCAATCCTCCTCTTTTTGCTGAGGAAGAGTGGCCCCAAGCTAACATCTGTGCCCATCTTCCTCCACTTTATATGTGGGATGCCTGCCACAGCTATGGCTTGACAAGTGGTGCCATGTCTGCACCCAGGATCCCAACCAGCGAACCCCGGGCTGCTGAAGCGGAACGTGTGAACTTAACTGCTGCGCCACCAGGCCAGCCCCTCCAGAGTTACCTTTAAAAATTCCTTGAAGTCGGTGTCTTCATCTGTCTTCTGCTGTAACAGAGCTGCTCCATTAAGCTGACAGCTGCAGAACCGGATGTAAGCCTGCATGTGGGACAGCTCAGCTGCCAGGATGTCCCCAATCATCTGCACGGGCATCTTCTCGCCGCTGGTCTTCTTCCGCACCCGTAAGGCCCTGCAACCACACATTCTCTCACTCTCTGCTTCTAAGTGAATGTCTTTGGTGGGTGAAGGATGACTAGCATGGGAGATTAATGGTAATGATAACCAGTGAGCTATCTAAAAACCCCTGGCACCCTGAGGGAAGACTCAGGAGGAGGAGGAGGCGGCTTAGGCATGAAGCTCTACTGGCCAAGTCAACCTCGGTGAAACGTTAGCAAAGAAGATTAAGAAAATGAAGGCCAGACACGTGAGTGTCTCTAGGCCTTTAGAATTGGCTTAGTCTCACCTTAGCTTCTTAGCAAAGTTTCTTTTGAAAAATTCTAACTTGTTCTTGGCTGAACCAAGAAGAAAGGAATTTTCCACACTCTGTAGGGGCAAAAGGGAGCAGAAACCCTGGCGGCCAGGCGTGCAGGTGGAGGTGAGCCTCGTCCTCAGGGGAGCGGCCAAGCCCCAGGGAGGGCGGAGAGGCAGCCAGAGCTGGTCCTGTGGTGCCTCCTCCCAGGAGCTTGTTGTCCTGGGCACAGGGGACAGAAAACCACCCCAAGGAACAGAATTCCACAAGGGTCTTTAGGAGGCTGCCAGACTAGCCAGTCACGTCTGGGCCACGAGCTGCAGCTTCTCTCCGGACTCTACTACCCAAAACAGAGTCCAGTTTGTGGAATCCTATGTTAACATACGATTTGTTTAATGATTTAACTTTTTCTTTGTTTAATCGAAGTATTTTTTATTCTATTTCTTTACTTCAGTAGTTATGTATTTTATAGTTGTAGGGCATTTCATAAAGTTATAATAAAATAGAAAGCCGGAGGGAGCAGAAGACAGTTGGAAGTCCCTTTGCTGCGCAGCCCTGTGGAGAGGCGCGTGTGAAGCCTCCGTCCTGGGGCCGGGGTGTCTGCCGAGCGGCGGGCGAGGCGCACAACTCACTTCAGCAGCTTCGTGTTGGACATGATGAGCTCCTTCCAGTTAACAAAGATCAAGGCCATTTCTCCTTCCGTGAGGACACCTGAGTCCATCATCGGTTTCTGAAAAACCTAAATCAAAGCACAAAAGAAACAAGTTAGCCAAAGTGTGAAAACACAGCTGAAGTGGTCTAAGTGAAACAAGATCTTCATACACTGAAACTAAGACGATCATGGTATTTTAAAATAAACATATTTATGATCATTAAATTTTCTTTCTTTCTTTCTTCTTCTCCCCAAAGCCCCCCAGTACATAGTTGTATATCCTAGTTGTGGGTCCTTCTGGTTGTGCTGTGTGGGACGCCTCCTCAGCATGGCCTGATGAGCGGTGCTAGGTCTGCGCCCAGGATCCGAACCAGCAAAACCCCAGGCCCCCAAAGCGTAGTGCGTAAACCCAACCACTCAGCCACAGGGCCAGTCCTAGGATGGTTAAATTTTAAATTGCGTAAGTTCCCTACTTTTTGCTATCTGGGCTCCTAATCAAGGCTGATTCTGAGGACTGAATCCAGTAGTCTCACCAAGAAGAGGACATTCTCATACTCACCTCCTACGGGTGTTATGAAGGTTAAATAAAACCATGGCATAAAGCGCCTACATGCTGTAGGAGTGTGCAGAACTGAGGAAGCGTGACTGCTGCCAGGTCGAGCACCTCAGGGTTCTGGAAGCAGTTTGTAAAACAGTCAAGACTTATACTACCCTCAAGACTGACCGCCCAGCAGGGGTGGACTGCAGAGTTTGGCTGACTGAAGGGGAAATAATCCTCTCCATCAGTGTTCCAGAGCACTTAAGGATTTACAAACCTCTGATATGTACGCATATGCATACACTGTGTGTGCATGTGCACACATCTGTGTGTGGGGGGGAGGTTTCTCAATTAACTTCAGATATGATGTAGGTCAAGCTGAGTCAGGTATTATTATTCCCAAATGACTCGTGAAGAAATAAAGGCTGAAAGAGCGCTTTGCTCAGTTACAAAGTGAGAATATGGAGGAGCTAGAACTCAGCTCAACTCCTTTTGATTCTAAGTCCAAGTTTCCACTAAACAACTAGGGTTCTCAGGGAAAGACTTTAAAGGCCTTAAGGAAATAGCGACGTTATCTGAGAGGACTCTTCTCCTGTGTGATCCTTCCAAGATACACACGAAACATCACCCTATTAAAACTGTTCGCTGGCCATGGGATAAGATGCAATCTCCTTCTCCAGGATCCCGAGGCCCGCTGTGGTCTGCCCCCTGCCAGCCTCGCCAGCCTGGCCCTCACGTACTTGACGCTCAGCCACTCTGGGCTACGTGCAGGACCCTAACTCCCTCAGCACATGCCTTCCCACTTCTGTTTCCTCATAGAAAACTCGTCCTTGTCCTTCAGGTCTTGGCCAAGGCCTAAATGGGAAGGTCCTTCCTGACCTCTCCTTGCTGGCTGGGGGCGGTCCCCTCCCCTCGGCTCCCAAAGCATCCGAGTCACCCCCCCCCAGCCTTCACCACGCTGCTCTGCAACTGTCTGTCTGTCTCTCCACAGGACTGTGAACTCCTCGAGGGCAGGAACCTTCTCTTTAGCTCTGTTCTCTAGCACAGTGCTTTGCATACAGTAGGTTTTCAATTAATGTTTACTGAGTTGAGTTGAACATGGATTCAAAGAACTCAACTGAAAGTGCTGTGAATTGGACCTCTCTAAATCTCTCCAGCTCCACGAGCAGACTGCAGATGTCAGGACACTCCCAGGAGGGCGAGCCCTGGAAGACGGCCCATCTGCTCTGAGGGGTTCCTGGGGGACAGGCATTGCCTGTTCTTCACTCACTGAGTAATTTATGTTACTTTGTTTATTCGTTCTACTTGTCTGCTTTGTGTCAGCCTCAGTGAGGTGAGCAGAGGAGGAGAAGGTGGTCAGGCCCTCTGGGACCCCCCATGGGAACAGTGATGAGAAGGCCTTGCCTGTTAACAGTGCCCGTGACTCCTCGCCCCTCAGAGCATCTCATGGGTGGACAGAGTGGGAATAACCAAGGCCCAAGGGATTGAGTAACTGCTCTGAGGTGGGGCAAGACCCGGCCCCTGTTCACCTCCTGTGCTAGCATCAGAGAGGCACTTCTGCACCCATGTACAATCCCTTCGGACTGCAATGTGACCAGCAGCAGGGCAGACACTTGTAGGGATGAATAAGAATGATGGGCTCCTCTTGTAGGCCATCTGCCCTGGTCACAGAGGTGCAGACATAAACACACCTACTTTATTCAGTACTGGTGGGAAGGCCTGCAAAGGGCCAGGCTACGTTTTGGGGATGCAGAATGAAGGATACAGAGTCTCAGGAGCTCACAGCCTTGGGGGGAAGGGAGACACTGTCAACCGAGCTGTGCACTGTAGTGAACACGTGAGAGGAACTAGCAGGCCATGTCTGGAGCCCGCAGCCTGCATTTAGGGTGGAGGAGGCACCAGGGGCAGGCCTTGCCGGGGGGCAGATGCAGGCGGGTGCGGCCTCTGCTCCATGCTGCTATCCAGGTCACGGCCAGGTGTATGGTGCACCTGTTGGGCCTATGGGGACACCAATTCTCCTCAGGTGGTTTGTTTATTTGACTGGAAACAAAAGTATAATAGAACTATCAAGTGTTATCTTGCTTACTCAGACACAAATCATTTTAAAATGCCATTCTAGGGGCCGGCCTGGTGGCCCAGAGGTAAAGTTCGCAGGTTCCGCTTCGGCGGCCCAGGGCTCACCGGTTCTGATCCCGGGTGCGGACATGGCACCGCTTGGCAAAAGCCATGCTGTGGTAGGCGTCCCATGTATAAAGTAGAGGAAGATGGGCACGGATGTTAGCTCAGGGCCAGCATTCCTCAGCAAAAAGAGGAGTGGCAGTAGTTAGCTCAGGGCTAATCTTACTCAAAAAAAACAATGTCACTCTAACAGCTGTCATCAGCTTAGAGGTCACTGGTAACATAAATAGGCACAAACATAAAACAGTAAATATATGATATTTGGACAATATTTTACAATAAGCTCCTATTTGGTTTTCCAAACTGATACAAACATTTGGTGAACACTCCCACTGCTTCACAATTCCCCTGGAAATGTTAAAGTTTATGAAAATGTCAGGTGTCAAACAGCAGTGTAAATATAGTTAGGCAAAAAGCTGAAGTAGATAAGTTGCTTCAGCACCTTCCCCCCTTCTCTGGACCCTGTCCTTCCTGATGGGGCCTCTGCCACATGCGCCTGAGGCACCTGAGTGCCCTCTTGTTCTCTCTTCACTCTGAATTACCTAATCTCGGGGAAAGAGTTGACTGAACTCTTCAAGCACTCTCCAATGGGCAGAGAAAGCGTTTTGAGGGTGTGAGAGCTCCTGTCACGCCTGTGAATTTACACAGCAAAGGGGAAACCTCCCCTTGAGACCGAGGACCCCCATCCCCTACAGCAGAGAGAGATGCTCCTGGAGCGAGGCGGCAGGGGCCCCTCACCTCCACGACGAGCTGAAGGTCGTCCACGTACCGCTCCTCAGTCTGAATCAGCTCGTGAAGGTAGCCCTGCCTTTTCCTCTCTATTGGCTGCATGGTGTCCAGGGTTTGGAGATCGGCACACCCTATGGAAAAACAGGGTAGAGTTTCAAAATATGATTTCAGTCTTCTTTGCAGAAAACAGACATTTATCAGCAGACATGCTAGGTTTACAAATGCTGCCTTGAAGGAACAACACAGCTTCCACAGAGCGCAGGACGTCCTCGGAGCAGCACACACCTGCGAAGAGCGGGCCTCACGACCTGCCACCTGCTCGAAAGCAGCTCATTAGCCACACCTGTAACATTTCAATGTGGCCCTGACTTCTTCTCTTAGTAGTAATGACAGAATTAAGAATTTTTAGAATGGCCTCAAAGAGATCAGAACTGTGCTGAGCTTGTGAAGAATCTATGCTATTCTCACCATCTCAAGACATTTTCAAAGTTATTGTAATGATTAAACGAACCAAATGCTTCAGACTAGTGTTTCCTAAACTGCAGGTCGTGAGCTATCAGCGGGTCATTACATCAGTTTAGTTTTTTTAAATGCTGATTAGGCCCAGCAGTAAAATTATAAATAGAAACTATCAAGTGTGCAGCATTGGTAAGCGTTGTTCCGTGAAAAGTTTTAGTTAGGTATGTATTTGGGGATGTAAAATGTACTTCTTACTGTGAGTGACTGTTTAAAAGCTGTTTGAGAAACATTTCTCTAGATTTCTCAAAGTAAAGAGCTAAAGTTAGGAAATCTGAAGTCCCCAATGAAACCATGCCTAGCCCCCTAGGACAAAGAACTCCTGGTTTGGGATACACCGTGGCCCTAAGTGACTCTGAGGGAAGTCCTGAGTGTCTTGCAGCAGGGTGAGGTGTACTGCATACACTTTGGGTCAATTTACAGGCACATCGGGGATGAACTAAAGGTCAAATTGTGAAGTGTGACGTACTTCCAGAGTCATTTGGTAAGAAGCCGAGGGCTTGCCTTATGCCCAGTGACAGGAAGCCCTTCCTCAGACACAAAGAAAAAGCAGGCAGGTACCCAGCAAGCTACACCTTGAGGCAGCAAGCGGTGCACATCCGAAAGCCAAAAGCCGGGAGAGAGAAGGACAAAGAAGCCTGCCTGATCCCTGCGGCCACCAGGTGAGCAGAGGCAGCAGGGGAAGGGGCAGCCTGAGGCAGGGACTCCAGACACACATGTCCGCAAGTGGGTGCTTGTCTGACACTGGGAACAAATGAAGAAAGCCACAGAGGCAGAAAATGCAAGGATCACACTGGGCTTTTAAAGGGGGGTTCTCTTTCTGTCGCCTTTGAATTTTTATATATTTGCACAGATTTGGGCTTACTGAAAGTTCTAATGAAGACAGCTGTTCTGTTTTCTGCACATGTTGCCAAAAGCTTTAAAAAATTTACTCCCACAGTAAAACCAAAATTGAATACGGCAGGTTATGTTTGGTGCTACCAAGAAGAAATCATAGTGCCACAGTCGTGTTCAAAAAGTACCCAGCGTTTCGGGGGGTTGTATTTGATTCTGTCCTGCTGGGGAGAGCTGCAGGCGTGAGTGAGTGTTTGGAACCAGTAAGGCTGGTGACAATACAGATGACTGACTGACTAGGTTGTGTGGAGCAAGGAGGCTAGATGTGGTGGCCGTACAGCTGGTGGGACGTTGCTGATGGTGATGTGAGCCAGAGTCACAGGTCAGAGTTGCCAGCTGACTCTGATGGAGGCAATTAGAACAGTCTCTAAGGTTACCCCACCTCTTACACTAGTGTTTCACAAATTTCAGTCATTCACATTCTGCCACATCCACATTCTATCTCTACTATTATTTATGTTATATTTTTCTCTAAATTCACTTGTGTCTGAGTTAAATATCTAGGAAATCATGGGTTTGATGTGCTGGTTATGTTTCTTCTGATAGTCATTAAAATATATAACCATTAAAATAAAACTAGTCTTCTTGGGTGCTATCTTGCATGCCACTGTGTCGGGTACCATTGGGATACGTGTGTCACACTTTGAGAAACAATGATTTACATTAAAACCCACAAGCACCAGCCTATCTGTTCTGTATCTTGGAATAATAAGAAAAGTCTCAGACGTTTTACCATTTCTAAGGCGGGAACATACATTAGCTTTATCAGGATGAATGTGCGGACAATCCTTGCACTCCACCCCTGGCGGTCCCCTTTGCATTTCATTACAATGGTTCTTAAACTTTTATTCTCTCTTCAAGTTTCCAACCTGACCCGTACCTTCACAGTCAGACATTCTTACCCCTGATGTCAGGGGAAACAAATAAAGCCTTACTGCCCCTTTACCTCCTCCCTTTATCTCCCTGCTCTCATCCCTGTACTTCCTTCCCCTCTCGGGGATGCGGGGATCCTATTTATTCCCAAAGCCAGCATCCTTACCCAGCCCTCTCCTGCAGGACCCTTCCCTGTCCTTCACACCCCATCGTCAGTCTCCACTAGCTCCTTCTTAGCCTGCACACAGGGTTAAGTGCCTCTCCCACCCCATCATCTAAAACAAACAAGCACCCTTCCTTCCGTCCTGCTCCCTCCTCAAGAACCCTCTCTCTGGTCTCACCGCCAAGCATCACTAGAGGGGTCTGTACTCCTGGCCAGTCCCCCAGCTCTCCCTGTCACTTCTCCAGTATAGGGCACTCTGGCTTCTGTCCCACCGCCCCACTGACACTGCTCTTGTGAAGGTGATGATGACCTCGGCATTGCCAAATCTAGCAACCCCTTTGGAGATCACATCCTCCTCCACCTGCCCACGGCACTGGCCCTTCTGAAGACCTGCTTCTTCAGACACTCAAGTCTCTCCTCTCCCAGACTTTGCCACTCTCTTCTTTCTGGTGTTTCCTTCTGTCTTTCTGCCTCTGCCTGCTTCCAGACTCTCTGTTCCCCCTAATCCAGCTGATACTAAAATGTGTTCCTGGCATTCCAGCCCTGTACGGTCAAATGAACGGGACAATGCTGCAGACTGTGTATTTCTCTTGTAGGGCCACAATGCACATTAGCATATTAGGCTCTGAGAAATCCTGCCCTAAAAAAAAGTTTAATTTGACGAATGCAGAGTTCCCAACACCTATTTGACCACAGAACCCTCTTTTTTGAGGGGAGGGGAAGTGAATCTTCTGAGAACCGAGAAATTATAGTTTGTTGGTAGAATACATCCTTTGCCATCCTCTGTGCCCACACTGTCCAATACGTAGCCACTAGCAACATGTGCCCACTGAGCACTTGAACTGTGGCCAGTCCAGAGAAGTGCTGTGAGTGTAAAATGCACACAGGTTTCAAAGACCTTGTACAAAAAACCCAGAATGTAAAATAACGCATTAATAATTCTTATATTGATCACATATTGAAATGATAATATTTTGGATAATACTTGGTTAAGTAAAAAAATTATTAATTTAATGTTTTTTTTGTTTGTTTTAATGTGGCTGCTAGGAAATTTTAAATTACATATGGGGCTGCGTTTGTGACTTACATTCGATTTCTATTGAACAGCTCAAGCCAGGCACTACATTTTTTATTATGTGTTTTTCCCCAATAGAATAGTCAATGGCTCCTGTTATTTGCAGAATGAAGTCCTGGGTCTGTAGCACAGGGCTCCAGAGTCTCCACAATCCGGCCACAGCCTATCTTTGATCATGCCGCCCAGCTTCTAGCCACCCTGGCCTGGGCCCAGTCATACACTGTCCTCTCTTCCGCGCAGAGCCACCTCATTAGCCCTTCAAGGTGTGGCTCACGTGATCCTACTTCAGGGAAGCATTTCCCATTCCCTCTTCCACTCACCCCCAGACTGCCTCTCCTTCGTGTTTCCGGGGTGCTGGTTTGCATCTGTATTTCGATACTTCACATAATGAGACGTGTTGTAGTTCACCTGTACATGGTCACTATGTCTGTCTCTCCCACTGGAGATTAGGGGCCGTGTCTAACACAGTTCTATAATATCAAATTAGTCCAGGGTTCTGACCACGGGGGTCAGGGAGTAATCATCAAATAGTAGACTACTGTGTTGCCCCACACGCGTTTGTCACCTTCCACCTGCTCTGCTCCATGCTGCAAGGAGGCCAACCCACAGGCTGCTTTCGTAAGCTCCTGTCTGAGCTGGCTTCTGCCTGAGTTTGGCCAGTGAGAGGAGGCTCTGGCAGGAGAAGGAAGACTACAGGGTGGACGAGGAAAAAAATCCTCCTGCCAGAAGAGTGATGTGACAAGAAAGTTTTTAGTTTCTGCTGGCTAAAGAATAGAAATGCTGGGCTTGCATCTCACACAAATTTGGAGTTAAGAATTCCTGAACTAATGAGTTAACACAAAAATTGGTCCCTGGTTGGTGATGCCTACAGTGCTTGGTCAAAGGAAACGTCTAACTGCTCTGGAAGGTCTCTCCTACAACCCTGGTTCCAAGGATTTCCACAGAAATACTAAGTCTCACTAAAAAGGAGTTCAAAGTAAAAAATCACAAAAGCAAGGAATGATCCACCTTAAATAAAAAAATGCAAGAACATAAGATAATAGAACAAAATACAGAAAAGGAGATGTAAAATACATATGTTTAAAATAACTCAAGACATATATGAAGGACCTGAAACCCTAAGAAGAGTCTTTAAAAAAGAATAGGCAGGGGCCAGCCCAGTGGCATAGTGGTTAAGTTTGTGCACTCCACTTCAGCAGCCCAAAGTTCACAGATTCAGATCCTGGGCACAGACCTAGCACCACTTGTCAAGCCATGCTCTGTCAGCATCTCACATAAAATAGAGGAAGATTGGCAATAGATGTTAGCTCAGGGCCGATCTTTCTCACACACACACAAAAATAAATAAATAAAAATAAAAAAATAAAAAAGAATAGGCAGGGGCCAGGCCAGTGGTGTAGTGGTTAAGTTCATGTGCTCCGCTTTGGCAGCCTGGGGTTTGTGGGTTCGGATCCCAGGCATGGACCTACACACTGCTCATTGAGCTGTGCTGTAGCAGCATCCCACATACAAAAAATAGAGGAAGATTGGCACAGATGTTAGCTCAGGGCCAATCCTCCTCACCAAAAAAAAAGAATAGGCAGATTTGGAAAAAAACAAAGAAAGATGGC